AATTATGATTTTCAATTTAATTTTAATATCATATTTTTGTGCATCATATTATTTAGCGATCAAAAATTATAAATTATTATTTACTGCGTCATTTATCCATAATAATGATATGAATAATATTGTTATATGAATAAATTGTGTTTTTTTTTCTATTGCCATTGTTTCATTTTTTTTAAATGACAAGAAAGTTTTTATTAAAGAAATTACAAAAAAAATCAATTTTCTTTAATATTAAAAATATAAATTATTTAACAGTTTTTAAAACTATATATTATCAGTTTTTATGGGATTTTTTTACGGATCAACAGATATCATAATACAGATTAATAGCGGGGTTTAAGATATATATCGGGTTGGCTCAAATTTTTAATTAGTAAATTTTTAATTAAATCTTAACTGGATTATATAAAAGTTGCCGGATGTACCGGTTCAACTATAGATCTGAGTCGGATATGAAAACATTACATGAAAATCAAACATTATAATAGAACATTTTTAAATACTAATAAAATAATTTTTAAATTTTTGTGTTTGAATAATTAATTTAAATAAATTTTATCACAATGGTAAAAATGTATCCGCGCTTTTAAATCACGGATCAAAATCTAGTGTCTACTAAAATTCTAAACCAAAAACTAGGGTTTTTGGGATTTAAATCATTCGCCAATAAACCGAGTCTCGACAGGTAAGGAGACAGCGACAGAATCTTGAGGGTTTGTAGAGATATGAACAGAATCAACGGGTTATCAGATGACTTGCTGCTCAAGATACTATCGTTTCTTCCAACAAAAGTTGCAATCTCCACCAGCATATTGTCCAAACGATGGGAATATGTTTGGATGGGAATATGTTTGGATGTGGTTACCAAAACTCGAGTACGTTAGCAAAAATTATGATGGCAAGGGTTTCACGTGCTTGTCTGAATACGGGAGTGCACTACGATGTTTTCTTAACAGACATATGCCGATACATAGAGCTTCCGTCATCGAAAGCTTCTATCTCGCTTTAGCTTTCGCAGGTTGTAAACCTGAAGACATCAAAATGTGGATTCAAATCGCAGTTTCTCGTTTCCTACGTGAGCTTGACGTTTCTTATATTGACCATCTGGACAAGAACAACATAATACCTAGTAGCTTGTACGCCTCTAAATCTCTAGTGACTTTGAAACTCTACGGCTACATTCTCTTGGATGTTCCTCGTATGGTTGGTCTTCCCTCTCTGAAAACTTTGCAACTTCACTAAGTGAGATACTCAGATGGAGATTCTTTTCAAAAGCTCTTATCTATATGTCCTGTTCTTGAACATCTGTTGGTGGGACTCTATGGTAACTATGTCAATATGGGAATGATCACTATTAAGATCCCGTCTTTGCTTAGTTTATCACTACAAAATCGTCTGGATGGTCTTCTAGATGGTTTAGTGATAGATACCCCTTCTTTGAAGTATTTGGAGCTTGAAAATTATAATAACAATAATCACTCATCATGTCTAATTGAGGATATGCCTCAGCTGGAGGAGGCATATCTAGATATTAACTATCCTGATATCGAGAGACTTATAGGATCAATCACATCTGTCAAGCGGCTTACGATATCGTCAGAGGTAAATCAGTCAATTATAGAATGTTAGTTTCGATATGTTTATAGCCAATTGGTTTTAAATTGGAAGAGTTAGTATTTTACAATAATACTTTTACATTTTTCATCCACGTGCAGGTAGTGTATGGTGGCAGGTTTTTTTTCAACCAGCTTGAGCATTTGAAGCTATGCGTAAGCACTAATTGTGCTTCTAGTCTCCTTGTCCGGTTACTCGAAGGTTCTCGTAATCTACGAGATCTAGGACTCTTTAAAATGGTAAGTAAATTAAGCTTCTTTAAACTTTTGAGAATTCTCCAATTAAATATATATATATATATATATATATATATATATATATATATATATATATATATATATATATATATATATTTCTGGTGAAAGACTTCCAATGTGAATGCCCTAAGTAAATAAATTGGAGAAACTATTATATATGGTCTACTTCACACTAGTGTGGGTTTTGAATCAACTGATTTTGCTCTACACAGGCTCATAAAGGTGGTTATATGGCTTGGTGGAACCAACCGGAGACTGTTCCTAAATGTATTTTGTCGAGTTTGCAAACTTTCAGCTGGTCAGGTTACTACGGGATAACACAAGACAAAGATTTCGTGGTTTACATCTTGACAAATGCTTGTCAGTTGAAGACTGTAACAATCTATTGTAATAATATTTATACTCCAAAATATGAGATGATCAAGGAGTTGTCACTTTCCTACCGAGCTTCGACCACATGCCGACTCGTATTTGATTAAGAATATTCTTTTATTATTTGTTAGAATGTTTTGGTTTATGTGAAACCATTTCGAACTTTTCCATTTGTATCTTGTTGTTCAAGAAAGAGCAGATTCTTCCTAATGGTAATATACTTTTCCTAATTGTGTGTATCACACACAACTTGACATCTAGAAATTAGAAGTATTCACAAAAAGTTGAAAACATATTAATGCTTTTGTGAATTGAGTCAATGATTGATTCTCCCTCTCTCATTTGTATTTATTTTTCAACATTTTGTTCTTATATATATATTTGAAACAATGAAACATAATTGACCGTGGGTTTGTTCATTTATATGTTCGATATGATATCGGCGATAACGTTTGGACGTGGGTTTTTACCGGTAGCCGAGAAGAAAATTTTTAGACTAAGTCCTAAGCAGAAGTCACCATTCATGGAGAATCCTTTAACAAGACCCTAAATAAAATAAAAAAAGTGTTACCACGGTCACATGCAACGCCAGATTCAAGACTGAAATCCCACTAAATAATGTTTGATTGTTACGCGATTGGCAGTTATAATTATTTTTTTTATTTTAAATCGTTTATGGAATGAGGGAAGAAAATTTACTGTGGCGTCCCTGCAATAGCTGCCAAATACGTAAGAAAGTTATTAATGGCTCTAATTCTTCTCGACCTCCCCTCTGTGCTCACTTCTTCACACAAATGTCATTCCATCGCGCACGTTAACATGATCTTGAAGTTTGAAATATATACATAGTAAATTAATAGCCAGATGGGTTTCGTTGGGGAAATGTTTGGAACAAGCGACATTCTAGGCCCCTTCTTAGTTCTGACTAATAAGCATGTGATTAATGTTTGTGATATTTTTATATACTTTTTTTTGGTGAAAAGGCATGTATTCTCTCTCTGTTTGTCTAAGGCAGCATTTAAAAACATTAAGCCACTACTAACATTTTTCAAAATGTTGTTTCTAATATTTTATGTGGTCCAAAAAAATGCTTTACTTGTTTTTATTGATATAATATAAGATTATTTCTTCGTAAAGTTATGAGATTTTAACAAGGAAATATGTGTTACGACAAACGTGTCATAACATTTTCTGTTTCATAGTTATTTCCTCGTAAAAGTTCATTTACAAGAAAATAACTACGAAAATGGTCTTCGCTAAATTTTTATTTTTTTGTAGTAAATTAAATTTTTCTTAGTTCTTAATGAACTTTAAATAAAATAAATTTTGAGCTAGTGATTCAACGGTGGACAAAGGGATCGACTTCATTAGTTTTGAGGGAGTTGGAGGCGAAGATTGTCGAGGGATAAGCGAGAAGATGAACGCTGGTGGGGTCTTCTCTTCCCCTTGAAGAAGGGAGGGCCTTTGAGAGTTGTAGAGGGATGTCGGAGAGCGACGGCGAACGATGTTAGCGTGGAACGCCGATCGTTCTGTCACTTGTTTGTTATGATTATTGTATTTTATCATAATAATATATTTTTTTGTGTTTTGTTTAATGTTGTTTAATTTTAAAAAAAATGTTTGGAAAGCCGACAAAACCTAATCGCTTTGTCACTTGTTGGTTATGATTATTTTATCATAGCCGAAAAAAACTAATCGTTCTGTTTGGAAGAGTTTCAAAATGAAGCGTTTCGGTTCAAAAATAAAAGCTATTTTAAAAAAAAAAAACTTAACTTTATTGTATAAAATATTTAAAACATTTTTTTATTCATTATTGATCGTGTTTTTACAACTTAACATCTAGAAAATAGAAGTTATTCAATAAATAAGAACAAAAATTTGAAAACATAGAGGGAGGAGAAACAATGATTGACTCAATTCACAATTCTGCCTCCCTATCCTGTGATCATTGTTTCACTTAGCATGCAGCAATATGCTTACACTTCCCATGGTCAAAGCAGGTAAACACATACATAGATTATAAATATGGAATAAACTCTTTGATTTTTTTTCTTGCTAAATTGTAAATATTTATTAATGAAAATGAAACGATACAAGTTCTTTAGCAATCCAAAAAATGATTTAAGAAACGAAGAACAAACATTAGGTTTAAGACTACACAAGTCTTAATGCTAAACAGTATGATCTTCATGGAAACACTATGATACTTTAGGTTCGTTTGTAGCTCACGTTTCTTGCTTCTCAAGGCAACACCTGCCAGAGACATGTCCAGCTGCATCCATCCGTTGTATGACACGTGTACTGTGAATGAACATTCATTCGTCACCGTCTGTAATAAGAGAGTTAGTTAGAAGTAGTCATGTCAAAGATGATTTTGTTCTTCTTTGACCAAAGGTAAAGCGACAAGTGTAACCTTGTTTAATGTCATAAAGATTGTCTTTGTGTTTCTTTTTAGTTTTTTAGTCACACAGAAACTACGACTAGAAAAAAAAAATTGTCGTCAATTTTTCATATTAAACAATAGAGTAAATTACAAGTTGAATTACAACTAGAAACTTAAAATCTTTATTTCACTTAATTTTTTAATTTAAAATAAATGATTTCTATTCTATTTAAATGTTAAAATATTATATTTCTTATAAATTAAATTTTACAACGGTAATAAATGTGTAATATAATATTGTTCATCACACACGTGTAAAACTCGTTTCATTACATAAATTATTGTTGTACGTTTCTTTGTCTTTTTTCTAGAAACAAAAAAAACAATAACACACCTAAAAAACTTTGATTGGTTTTAAATCGTTGCAACGTGACTCTCTACTTGACGTGATCATAATCTTGAAAATAATATCGCTTCTGTCAAAAACACTATCCTCCAAACAAAAAAAAACACATCTCTAACCGCCGTCAACGATGAACAACAACCACAGCCGTTCGATCGACTCCATCTCCGGCTACGATCAACGGACAGGAATCTACCACAGCCTCCGCTCCCCTCTCTCCTTACCTCCCCTCACCCAACCTCTCTCCACAACCGACTACGTCCTCTCCCTCCTCCGCACCTCCTCGCCGCCCGCCGCCGCCGGAAAAAACCTCGACTCCCTCACTTACCTCGTCGACGCGAGCTCCGGCGAAAGTCTCACTTACGGCGAGCTTCTCCGCCAGGTCCGCTCCCTCGCCGCGTCTCTCCGGCGACGGTTCAACGCCGGAGACGTCGCGTTCGTCCTCTCTCCGGCGTCGTTGCACGTGCCGGTGCTTTACTTGGCGTTGATGTCGATCGGAGTGGTGGTGTCTCCGGCGAATCCGATCGGATCAGAGGTGGAGGTGACTCACCAAGTGGAAGTCAGCAAACCGGTGATCGCGTTCGCCACGTGGCGGACGGTTAAGAGTCTCCGCGCGTCTTGTTTCCCTCTCGGAGTCGTTTTAATGGACTCTCCAGAGTTTCTATCTTTTTTAACTAAACCGGTTTCCGAAGATTCTCTAAATCCGGTTAACGTTAACCAAACCGATCCTGCAGCTATTCTCTTCTCGTCGGGGACAACGGGGAGAGTCAAAGGCGTTCTCCTAACGCACCGCAACGTGATCGCGTCAACGGCGGTTTCTCACCAACGGTCACTCAACGACCCCGTTGACTACGACCGCGTGGGACTCTTCTCGTTGCCGTTGTTCCACGTGTTCGGATTCGGGATGATGATCAGAGCCATCTCGCTTGGGGAGAAGCTTGTGCTTCTCCAGAGGTTTGAGATGGAGGCGATGATGAAGGCGGTGGAGAAGTATAAGGTTACTGGTATGCCGGTTTCTCCGCCGTTGATTGTGGCGTTGGTGAAGTCGGAGTTGACGGAGAAGTATGATTTAAGTTCGTTGAGGTCGTTGGGGTGCGGTGGTGCTCCGCTTGGGAAAGATATTGCTGAGAGGTTTAAGAGGAAGTTCCCAGGGGTTGATATTGTTCAGGTGATGATGATAAGACTATTAAGGTTTTTGACTTTGCATTAGAAGAATCTTGGATGGGATCCAGTTCTTGATTCTTGGAATCTAATTTCTCTATAATGATGGTTTAACGGATAAATGTTAAATTCAAAAATATTCTCAGGATACTCAGTTTAAAAGTGTGTAAACAAAATTGCATACTCCATTTCATAGATACATATAGATACTCGGTAGGCCGCCTTGGTTAGACGCTTTATAGAGGATTATTGTTTATGCGGGTATTTAGAGCGAATTTTTAAAACGTTTGACGGATTTTTAGAACATTGTTGTTTTGACAGGGTTATGGCTTGACTGAGAGTACTGGGCCAGCAGCGGCGACGGCTGGACCGGAAGAGATGGTTAGATATGGGTCGGTTGGTCGTATCTCTGAGAATATAGAAGCAAAGATCGTTGATCCGTCCACCGGAGAAGCTTTACCACCGGGGAAGAATGGTGAGCTTTGGCTCCGAGGACCAGTTATCATGAAAGGTATGTAATGTAATGTAATAGTTGAGGAACATGCAAAAAGAGAGCTTTCACATTATGAAATGAAGCCTCTAAAATGTTCAAACCGAAGTATATTTGATAAATTTTCTTGTGATAATTAACTATTAGTAGTTTGACTTTGAGATAAGTCTAAGTTTTGTGTATTAGTAAGTCATTAAGACACAAACACAATAGTACATTGCATGCATTCTCTTATTCTACAAGCTTCTTGTATTGATTAGGTTATGTGGAGAATGAGAAAGCAACTGCAGAGACATTAGATCAAGAAGGGTGGTTAAAGACTGGAGATCTTTGTTACATTGATTCCGAAGGGTTTTTATATATTGTTGATCGGCTAAAAGAACTTATCAAATACAAAGCTTATCAGGTCCCACCGGTAGAATTAGAGCAGATTCTTCAATCGAATCCGGACGTGGTTGATGCTGCAGTTGTTCCGTGAGTACACTAATCAAACCTATGTACACTCATAGTTTATGTAACTTGTGTGTTTCTCTTACGATCATGGATCAATTCTCAAGGTTTCCGGACGAGGATGCAGGAGAGATTCCAATGGCTTTCATTGTGAGAAAACCAGGAAGCAATCTCAACGAAGCTCAAGTCATTGACTTTGTAGCTAAACAAGTAATGTTTAATTCTCTGCTGTGTGGTCTTGTTCTTGTCTTGGTGAAGACATAACAACTAGTTTGGTTGATGTTATGGTTTGCTTATTGGACTTCTGTTTATGTAGGTTGCTCCGTATAAGAAAGTAAGAAGAGTTGCTTTCATAAACGCAATCCCCAAAAACCCTGCTGGCAAGATCCTGCGTCGTGAGCTTACCAAAATAGCCGTGAATGGCAACGCCTCTAAGCTTTGAGTTAACCGGTCGGTTTAAATATGATTCAATCGGTTATCAGTGAAATATTGACCCGGTTTGGATAAAATTCTCCATCGTTCTCTTTTACCGCTTCAATTTTTTTTTTTTACCCACATCTTTTCTTTTTCAAATCTGTAACTTATTATTGTTTGGTCTGTTCAATAAACCAATTACTATAGGCGGTTTGTATTTTCGTTAATATGATTTAAAATAAAGTATACACCGTTCGACATCTACACCCGTCAAAACCAATAACAGCGTAGTTACCGTGTCCGCCAATCAAATCCAACGGTTCTACACAAACCAATGCAATCTAACGGTCATAAATTAATATTTACACCACTAGCACACACACCTTATAAATTAAGAAAAAAAGGCAATTATTGGAAGACATCCATCCAATCCAACGGTTCTAAAAACCCTCCTCAATTAACCGATTCGATCTAACGGTCTATAAATTAAATTAATATAAAAAAGGAGGAAGCAGCCGACCATATATCATCGAGAGGGTATAATAAACAAAAGGAAAGTTAACAGAAACGCAACGATTGAAAAAAAAAAAAAGAAAAAAAAACACGTCTTTGAGAATTATTTAGAGAGAGAGAGAGGCTGCTCGTAGATCTCATCGGCTCCGTTCTATTATTCCCCCTCTCCGGTAAGACCTTCCGGAACTTGTGTGAATCGGAGGAGATCAAAGGAAAACCAAAATAATCCCTTTCCCCTGGAAAATTCAATTTCTAGGGTTTCGTTTTTTTATTTTTTTTTGATTTTTTTTTCTTGAATTGGTTTGATTGATCGAATCTTTGCTTAATCGTGATTTGATTCTTCTCCCCTAGGGTTTCGTTTGATTTTGATTCGCTATTGTTTATCTCTTTTTGAAAATTCCTGCTTTGTATTACGATTTTCAATTGATCTCATTGAGAAGAATAACGATGGCGGCAGGGGGAGTTGATGTGTCTAGAAGTTCTCTTTCCGTCGAAAAAGACTTTTACAGGAACAACGGTGATGGCGAGAGGCGTCTCCAATCCAACCGCCCTAACGACCAAGATCTCAAGAGGAACCGATCAAGGTTGGCTTCTGAGAAAGGGGATAAAGAAGAGAAGGAGAGACCCGCGGAGAAAAGGAGGAAGTTTTCACCTATCTTGTGGGATGTAGATGATAAAGTGGCGAAAGCTTCGTCTAAGGAGAATAAAAGGTCTAATTTCGCTAGTCTGATGACTACAAATGTTGATGTTACTCTTACTAGGAAGACTTCTTTAAAAGAACAGGTTGATGTTGTGATGTCACCAGAAGCTCAGGGGCCTAAGGTTGATGTAACTCTTACTAGGAAGACTTGTTTAAAAGAAGAGGTTGATGTTGTGGTGATGTCAGTAGAATCTGGTGATGAGTTGGAGGAGGGGCAGTTGGAGGAAGAAGAGCAGATATCACCTGTTAAGAAGTCATTAAGATGGGAGACGGGTTTAGTTTCCCACAAAGAGGAGTTACCATCTTATGGTGAAGATGTTGTTCCAAAGACTAGTAGATGGAACAGGAACAGTTTGAGTCCGGAGTGTGGTGAGTTAGTGGTGTCTGAAGAACGGGAATGCAATTCTTCTGGTTCTGGTAGTGGGCATCGGAGCGTAGAGCAGCAGCGTAGTGCTCATGAGTATTCTGATCATGAGTATTCTAGTTCTGGTAATGATGAGTTAGAAGATGAAGAACCGGCTTCTCCAGCTCAGGGAGCGATGAACATGCTTCTTGGGAGCAGGTCTGTGAATGGGTTTCAGAAGCTAAACAAGATTAACGAAGGCACATACGGTATTGTGTATAGAGCGAGGGATGAGAAAACAAAGGAGATTGTGGCGCTCAAGAAGATCAAGATGAAGGAAGATAGGTACGAAGAAGAGTACGGGTTCCCTTTGACATCTCTGAGGGAAATCAACATACTTTTATCATGCAACCACCCTTCAATAGTGAACGTGAAGGAAGTTGTGGTCGGAGGGAAGAACGACAGCGATGTGTACATGGTCATGGAACACTTGGAGCACGACTTGAAGGGCTTAATGGAGAGAAAGAAACAGCCTTTCAGCACCAGCGAGGTCAAGTGTTTGATGCTGCAGCTGTTGGAGGGTGTGCACTACCTCCACACGAACTGGATTATCCACAGGGATCTGAAGCCATCTAATCTCTTAATGAACAACAGTGGAGAATTAAAGATATGTGATTTTGGTATGGCGAGACAGTATGGTAGCCCTATCAAGCCTTACACGCAGATGGTTATTACTCAGTGGTACAGACCACCTGAACTTCTTCTTGGAGCGAAACAGTACTCTACTGCTGTTGATATGTGGTCGATTGGGTGTATTATGGCGGAACTCTTGTCTCAGAAGCCTTTGTTCCCTGGCAAGACAGAACTTGACCAACTTCAAAAGATCTTTGCGGTCCTTGGAACACCAAACGAGTCAATCTGGCCTGGATTCTCATCGTTACCCAATGCTAAAGCCAAGTTTCCTACACAATCGTGAGTACTAACCTTATCTACTTATTTGTTTCTTTCTCTTAATATCTGTTGGTTGTGGATTTTAATATTATTTGACCTTTTGTTGTTGTACAGGTACAATTTGTTGCGTAAGAAGTTTCCAGCTATATCATTTGTAGGTGGTCAGATACTTTCAGAACGTGGATTTGATTTGCTGAACGGTTTACTAGCTTTGGATCCTGAGAAACGTCTAACAGTGGAGGAAGCTCTCAACCATAGTTGGTTTCATGAAGTCCCTCTCCCAAAATCACAAGATTTCATGCCCACTTTTCCTCCAAGACGCTAGATGAGAAGCACTGTGTATCATTTGTGAGGAAGATTCTCTAGAATCATATACTTGAACACAAGGAAATGATAGATTTTAAGCAGAGTATCTCATGTTCCTTCTGTATTGTATTTTTAAAGATCGATTTTTTAGATTTTATTATTACATTAATTAGAAAATGGAGAAAAATGTATAATGTCTTATCACTTTTGTGTCTCTGTCATTGATCACATATGTTTAGAAGGCAAGTCCTTATTTCCAAAATCCCACCCATTCTAAAGAGACAATCCAGAGAGTTATGCGATCATCAGATAAATTATTTAACTGATTCTAAAAATGGGTACCATGTATAATGTTCATTTATTCCTTTGTGAATCCTGATATGATCAAGGTATATATCATGGTGCTTCACAATGAGTTGGTCAACAAGTAAATAAGGCGTTAGAGAGTGAGTTTCAAGCTAATATTATGGCATTGCAACATAGATAGAAGTAAGGCTATAGCAAGATTATAAATGAAGGTGACTATAAAAAGGCAATGGATATCATCAACAGTCAAATGCATCATTTCGATACATACAACTGGAAAAGATAGATAATAAGATGGAAGGAAAAGTTCGAAAATGTCTGATTCTAATGGATTCGTAGAGAAGGAAACAAAATTGCAGACAAATTGACAAAACAAAGGCTTCCAAATAATCAGAATTTAATGTTTCATTATTATGACTAATGATGATAACTCATGATCATCACAATTATGTATGCTCACCTTCAAGTTAATAAAAACATAGTTTGTGTTAAAAATCATATCAATTTCACAAGATTTACATTGAAACCTTTTTGCTTTATAACTGTTAAAACATATGTTAAGGAAAAAAAATGATATTTCCAGTTGTTTCATTCCTATATTTTTATTCCATGTAATTAAAGTGGTATTTTTTTAAAGTTGAAACATGTTACAAAATTAATTAAGCTATTAACAGACATCTTTCACTAACAAAAGCATTAAGTCAAAACATGTTTCATAAAAGCAAATAGACATGTTTCATTTCACTACCCATTATGCATGTTAACATCAACAATGCGGTAAATCACGAATCCAAATCGATGGAGATTGAAGGCGATTATTCCAAGTAAGAATGTTCAGGTCTAGATGACCTTCATTTGATATAAAATAGAACATATTTATAATGTGGATACAATAATTATTTAAATAAAAACTTATTTCACTAAAATCATAATTTAAGATTAAAGCCATCATATCTGAAATGTGTTTGCGTATATAATGTAGTATATCACTGATGAATTTCATTTTTATACATACAAACCTAAACATAAATGATTAATCCTTGATTCTAGGTTTTTAGGCATTGTGGAATATATAAAACTGATTCAAAATGACTATTTCGATATATCTCTCATTAACAGCTTTATGCACATAATTTGTAATGAGATACGAAAATCTAATCAACCAACTAAATTACCAATCAATAACAATCACACTTAGAAGAATGATAATCATAATTCACAAGAACATTGATTTGTGATGGGTATGATTTTCATTTCACTAAAACATGATTTACAGTCTTAATTATATACATTATGTAATTAGAGAAACTTTTTCATCTTCTTCTTATCTATATGTATCAAGAGCAATGAATTAAACCTTCCTCTACTAGCTTTCGCTTGATCCCACCGTAGAGTTTTTAGGTTTCATGTCGTTTAGGACTCCGACGTTTTCAAGGTCGATCCAAACGAATGTGTCTTTAGCAACATTCTTATTGCTTCTCTTATTGGCAAGAGGAGGTTCAGGTGATGATCTAACTCTCTTTCTCTGCAAAAAAAAAACACACATATGACACAAAATATAACACATAAAATGATTTGATATTTTCTATTTTTTAATCTTATTAATTTGCAATTTATCTGTAGTTGAGTACTTTTCAAGAGATGTTATTTTCCAATAAAAATGTTTCCACAGTTTGATTCTAATTTTAAAAAAGTGTTGAATAATATAAAATAATCAGTTTTGAACATATTCTAATAAGATTTTAATCGTACTTTGTAATTGTCGTCAAACATATATATTTTTATATTTAAGTGTGTTTTTAAGCCTATATAAAATGCATTACACTAAGCTATTTAAAGAACATATGAATAATTTGGAAACAAACACATTATCAATCAACTGATTTCATTTTCTTATTATAAATTCTAAGTGAACAAGATGTTATTATTTAGCTGAACACATCTTAAATATTTTTTTATTTGTCCACCACATAATTAGTAATGAATTCTATATTTTTCTAACTTTTTCCTTTTGATTTATATTATACTAGATTTTTTCTACGCTTTGAAGCGCGGATTTATTTGAATTATAAATAAATTTTGATATGAATTAGTATTTTGAGATTGTTATACATTATTATGTTAGAAAAGCATATTATATCTAAGATATATATATATATATATATATATATATATGAATTATTTTATTTGAGTTTTTTCTACATTCTTATGTAACTCTCTGAGACATGAGCATTTTACCTAGATTAGAAAAACCAAAATGAGCATTAGACAGAACGATACACTGTTAAATCAGGGTATAGGTCGAATCACATTTCCCAGATAAGGTACAAGATGTAGTCCGATATGGCCCGGATGTTAAACCTCTTTTGGCATTTTCCTGGAAACTTAAATGTGCTTCAAAGCTGAGACATTTTGTTTGGCAAATTATATCAGGTTCTTTACCAGTTACACAAAAATTGAGGGAACAAATGGAGATATTCGTTGCAGTATATGTGCTGCGGAGGAGGAGTCGATTAACCATACTCTCTTTGAGTGTCCCCCGGCTTTGCAAACGTGGGCTCTGTCTAAAATCCCTTCCTCCCCTACTATTTTCCCGATTGCTTCGGTGTTTACTAATATAGATTATCTTTTTTTGGGGAATCAAAAAGTATGATTTTAGTAGTTTCCCATGGATTCTGTGGTATATTTTGAAAATAGGAACAATAAGATTTTCAATAATAGGGTACGCAACCTTCAGGAGATCCTTAGGATTGCTGAAACGGAGGCCGAAGTATGGGCAGTGGCCCAGCGTACTATCCCGGAAAGGCAAGCTATGGTGACCAAGGTTCCTGACTAGAATGCTTTGGGGTATACGAGGATTTGTTTTATCGATGGTGCATGAAAAGCATATGATAAATTCTCGGGACAAGGATGGTTCTTTAGAGCGGCGGGCTCAAAAGAGAAATTGATGACGGCGATGAATCTCCGAAGAAGCTTATCAGCCTTACATGTAAAATGTGAAGCTTTAATATGGGTTATGGAGTGCATGAAGACCCTTGATTATTCAGATATAGTTTTTGCAATAGACTGTTCTCAACTGGTGAAGATGGTGTCCTCACCCGACGAATGGCCCGCTTTTGCTACACACTTGGAGGAGTTTCGACGTAGTAAGACTTTCTTCCCTACCTTCAAGATTCGACATTTACCAAGAGCAACTAACTTAATGGCGGACAAGCTTACACAAGGTGCTTGACGTTCCCTTTCAGCTGTGTTTCATGTTGATTCCATTCCACCGGTTTGGCTTGCTGAACTAGTAGATATTAGATCATAGTTTTTTGTTTCTTGTTGTAAAAAAAAAAAACAAAATGATCCCAGAATACAGGAAACATTTTTTTTTTTGGAAAAGGTATCACATGAAATTTTAATGAAGAAAAATAACAAAAATTAATTTAAAATATTTAAATATTGTGTGATTAGTATAATTAATGGGTAGACCAAAAATATAAAATAATTAGGTCCAATAATTTTCTATTATAAAATTTTAGACATATTTTCGTTTTATAATATAAATGTTAACTAAATTTTATATTTTATAGTTAAAATATAATTATATTGAATTAATTTATAATATTATAATTTCAAAAGTTATTTTTTTTCAAAAAAGTTCATTGTCAATTTTATAGATTTAAAAAACATAAATCTTTTTATATTTGACCAAAAATTGAGAAAATATATTTATTGAAATTCTATTGGTTTTACCAAAAATTTAGTGGCACATTTAACAGATTTTTATCCACACTTTGGATCCATATTTTGTAAATACTTTTAAAACATTTTTGTAAATATATTAGATCATTCATAATTTGTATATTGTAAATATAAATATTGTAATAGTGCAGGTGTTATATAAATTGTTATAAAATTCTAAAATGATCTTTAGTAATAGCCACAAAGTTCATTAGATCTTTTTAGTAACAATTATAGGAAGAGCTTTTGTTAGGAAAATATCAAATATAATATATTTAATTTAATTAATTAAGCACTTAATGAATAAGCTCAACGACCTTTTGTAAGTAAATTTTTAGAGTGATCTTGTTTTAACAATATGGATATAACTGTAAGTAAGTGGCGATTGTTGATTTAAAGTTTTGTTTTTCTTAGGTAATTAGTACTCAAACTCTTAAAGATTATACATTTCAAATATAAAATATCACAATTAAATATACGTTTTTTTTTATTAAATATACGTTCATACTGTCGGTCGACATAAAATTTAGAATAACATATGATTTTTTTAATTGTTCATAGAGTAAACTAGTTTTTTTTGTTAAGTTTAGAATATGGTGTAAGAGATGAAAACAATTCTACTTTTTTGAAGAAACGAATTAACTAAAGAGTGCTCTAGTCATGGCTCCTCCTTTCCATAAATGTAAATGTGTCACAGACAAAATGACCAGTTTCAGCGCCCTTATTGAGGCATCACACATTAGCTTTTTCCTTTACTGACTCCAAGACAAGCAAATCCACACGTGGTTCAAACACATTCGGCCACTTTCCCCAATTAGAGTTCTTGGGCATGGTTGTGTGGTCATTCGGTCCAATATTTTCTCATTATCTTGCGTTGTTGGACTCTGGTTGGTGGAACATGCTTGATTTATTCTGCTAGGATTTAGTACTTGTCCAATTTTAATAAAATAATACTCGTCAGGTTGTAGATGTAGGTGCTCAGCACTTAAATTCGAGGTTTGAGACCAAACAATATGACCAAATGTTTTTTTATTTGACTTTTAAGGTGTTGATTTTTTTAAATTGAACAAAAAAGTGTTGTTTTTAGATTTATTCTGTTAACAAATGTTTCATTAAATAGGTATAAAAATATTAAATTTTACGTGTGCATAAATTTATATAAAGCAATATTGTTAGTGAAAAGTACAATTTTATGTAGTTTATTATTTAGAGTTAATTAATACATCGATTATTTGTGCTTTTGTCAGTCAACTTCTCAGATATTTT